TGGAGATGCAGCTCTTCCCTGCTCCACCCTCTGGCCCTCAGATGGAGATGCAGCTCTTCCCTGCTCCACCCTCTGGTCCACAGGTGGAGATGCAGCTCTTCCCTGCTCCACCCTGAGGTCCTCAGGTGGTGTTGCAGCTGTTCCCTGCTCCACCCTCAGGTCCTCAGGTGGAGATGCAGCTCTTCCCTGATCCACCCTCAGGTCCTCATGTGGTGTTGCAGCTCTTCCCTGCTCCACCTTTGGGCTCCATGATATATACACCAGTGAGCTCACAGTTTCCTGTCCTGGTCGCTGCTCTACAGGCTCTGAATGCCAGCCTCTCTCTGCTTTTCCTGCTCCTAGTCCTGCTCCTGCTCCATACAGCCAAACACTGACCGGCAAAGTACTGCCCAACACGTGTGAAGGTGTGGGAGGTTTGGGACAGCGGACACTGGACACTGCCAGTACAGGGAGTAGTGAACTACATTGTGCCAAAGGAGCAATGGTTGGAGGACATAACAAAATGTATATCCCCCCCACCAGAGGCATGGACACTGGACACTTATTTATGTATAAAGTTCGGTGTATAGTTTGATATTTATTTATATATATATGATATGTATATATTTTATTAAGTTTATGATAATGTTTATTTTATGTTAAAACTCATTTAGAGTGTTATTTTGTTATACTTCACCTTTCTTACTTTTATGGGTTGTTTTACATTTTATTAAGTTGAACTACTTGAAAATAAAGGTTTGGTTCTATCAAGTATGTGACTGTCCAATAATTGAGTGGAGTGCTATGTTTAGAATTTCTATAGGTTTTCTCTTTGTTTATTAAAAGAAATACATTATAACGCCAATACCTTCTTAGTTCATATTAAATGTAATGGTTACATTTAATTATTTATCCACAGCCTGTGGATAAATAATTAAATGTAACCATTACATTTAATATGAACTAAGAAGGTATTGGCGTTATAATGTATTTCTTTTAATAAACAAAGAGAAAACCTANGAGATGCTGTATGAGAAAACAATGTGAGTTTGGAACATTGAACAATGTAAGTCTATTCTAGTAGGCCTCAACAATGGAATTATGATCAGTAGAAATGGCCATGACATCTGGACCTTTAAGTTAACACAGTTTTTTTTGTTTAATAGATCAGGTGTTCATAAACTGCATTTGAAAAAATAACACATGTTTATTTTAATATATACTGAAACATTGTTATCCTGTTTGCAATCCCCATTTTAAATATACCAGTAATCTGATCCAGTTTTTTTTAATATGTAACTGTAAGGGAATACAGTTAAAACATTTTTTTTTTTTTTAAATGTTACTCCCCAAGCCTGTATATTCATAATAAAAGCGTCGGGATAAATAAAGGGTCTATTTCTAAAACGTCAGAAGCTTTACTTTGCTTTAGAATACGTTGTAGGTGCAGATTGAGATGAGAGGAAGGAGAGCTTCGTTACTGCTGACAACAGACTGAGGAGATGCTGAGCTGTTCCACGTCAACTGAGGCGTGCCATCCAGCAACCACAATACAACACACACACACACACACACACACACACACACACACACACACACACACACACACACACACACACACACACACACACACACACACACACACACACACACACACACACACACACACACACACACACACACACACACACACACCACCAGCAGAGGGACTGCTGGAGCAGCTGGGAGGCCGCTGACCCAGAGAGAGAAGACAGGACAACAGAGAGTCAGTGGAGAGCTGGAGTGTGTTACAGTGTGCCAGCATCACACACACAGCCGTTTGATGTAGCAGCCAGTGGGAGCAACATTCTTTCAAGGAACTTGAATAATCTGCACTTAATAACATTACTTATCTCATTTAACTATTTGTGTCCTCCTTTCCCTTTTTCACTGAGGCGGGTTCAGAGCTGGTGCCAAATTGGGAACCAGTTTATTGTGTTTCTACTGCATAAGTGTCGACTCTGGGCTGCAAAAATAGTTTTAAGCGTAAACTGTTTGCCCGGTTGGCACCGAGAACTGCATACGCAAGTGGCTCGATTTACATGAGCAACATAGTTCATGGCGGGAGTAGAATGTAGAACAACTCCTGAACAACAACAAAAAGCCGGCGTTTTATCCATTTTGTACACAACGATGGAGAAACTTAACAAGCAGCAGTGGTCCACTGAAGAGACCAGCTACCTACTGGGAATCTGGTCTTCCGAAGAGGTACAGAGGAAGCTGGAGCACAATCGGCCATTGTTGTTGTTGTCGGTGTCAGCTGTGAGGGGTTTCCGCGCTGTTTGGCTTTATGAAGCAGGCACTCAAACGGTTACGTCATGACGCAAACGATGACGCAATGACGTAGCACCAGTCGGACTCTGGGCGGTGTGAAAAGAGCCGGAGCTAAACCGAAGAACCGGTTCTGAACCTGAAAAGCTCTAGCACGGAACTTGAACCGGAGTTGCGTTGGTGTGAATGAGGTATTAGAGCTTTATGATTGTCAACCTAAGAACAGTCAGAGCTCTGAAAAAAAATTCTCTTCTGGGTGCCTTTTGTAATCATTTCAAAAGCAGAGGCCTGTAACATATGTGTACTTCTGGACTACTTCTAGTGTTGTCCAACTGAGACATTTAAGCAATATTATGTCATTCCATTTACATGCAGACCTTAAGAAACAGTTTTTTGTCACTGTGAGGCCCGGTTAGGAGCTGTTCGAAAGGCCTACTTAAACGTAAAGTAATCTTCTGGGGGGGCAACATGGCATGCCATGTTGAAGAGAATAAAGATCCCATCTGGCCTGGGTATGTCTTGGGAGTACCCAAAGAACATGGCTGGTTAGTGGAATGGGCCGGTACATGCTACCATGATGAACTGGACATGGAATTGCAGCATAAAAATATAAAGATGGATGGATATTAGTCTTTATATCAAATCTGTCATCTAAAGTTCCAGTTCATAAATTAAAATATTCTGTATGTC